CTCCGAGCTCTGGCCCCCAGGGGGAGGGGCGGTGTAGACTAACCCGCCGGCGGGGTCGCAGGGGCGGGCCACATAGGGGGAGGGCGGGAATTAGAGTTGATGTTTCCGGAACCCCCGCTCCGTCCCCAGCTGGGACACACGTGTGTTCACATGACCCCTTTTGCTCATATGCTGGAAGGAGCTGGTTCAGCGAGAGCCGCTTCGCAGGGACCTGGACAGAAAGAGCCCTGGCACCTTCCTAAACAGGCACCCTGGGGACGAGGCTGAGCATGGCTCTCCTTATTCCTTGAGACAGGAGGGCCCTTATAAAAACACCCATTCCAGGTTTGGCTAACCCTTTTCGGGGTCCCCGTGCAGTTCTTTACGAATAAATGTGGCTGTGTGTTTGAACCATGTGCTGGACTCAGCCAGACGCCCCTTCTCCCATCACCCTCACTAGACTATGTCTTACTCCTGCTGGTACCCTCTGTGCCTGTTGCAGCGTCTGGCAGTAACAAGTGACCGAAATGAGTAAAGAGCAGCCTGGATACTGGAAGGGAACAGAACAGCCTGTCTACTAACTCTGTTTTGCATTCCAGGTGAATGATCCAGATGCAGAACTGTGGATGGTGAGTATGAGCTGCCTGCTGACATCTGAAAGAACTGTGGAACTCCATGAAACAGTTTTATCTATCTGCTTGCCTCCCTACTTTGTGTACTTAAAAACTTAGAAATCAAATCCTTTGTAAGCTCTTTTTCCTCCAATATTAGGAGAGGAAGGATCATACTGATAATGTAAGTGTGTGTGAGAGAGAATTCAGAATTTTCCATAGACATGGGGGCCTTTCAGCAGTATTCCCTCGGAATAAATGAGTCAACCGAGGACACTTTTCTCAAGACACAGACTAGACCTTGAGGTCAAGTGAACCAATCCTCTTGAATTTCTACCCAGAAACTCCAACATTTGACCAGAAAATGGCAGGCTTAATGTTTGTGGTTCTGCTAATTCAGTAAGCTATATTCATAAAAAGTAACTAAAGTCCATAAGACCTACAGCATACATTGAACCAATGCTGACTGAACCATTTAGAGGAGGGGGAGATTGTTTCACACATTTTCTAAAATACCTGGATTTTGTTTCTGTCAATACAGATACACGAGACTGTAACAATATCACCAATGAGATGTTTTAAGCTTTGGAATAATGTTGACTATGTACAGAGTAGCAACAAATGAAAGCATTTGGAATTATATTGTGAAATTCTGGTCAGTTTTTTTAGTGCAGTAGAACCACATTCTGATAGTCTTATTGTCCAGATTCACAAGCTCCTACATCAAATCAAACTGCCTCTTCCTCAGCACTTTGGTCCATACCCGATGCTCTAAATGTTATTTCCCTGCAGACAGGTCTCAAATATCCACCTTAATGTTGAATTTTCAAATGACTGCTAGATCTCTTGGCCTGTACATCAGACTGGCTCCTCAAATACGCACCAGGTCCTATCCAGCATCTTTCCCTCGGAAACCCCCTCCTGCTCTTGACTCACCATTTCCATTATCAGTAGATTCATTCTAACTAGTATCAGGTTATAAAAATACAGAGCACCTCACAAGAAGTCCAGAGGCAGCTGCTTCATGGTCAGCAGTGTCATCAAGGACCTGGGCTTTCTGACTTCCATCTCTGCCAGTCCTCAGTGTGTAGGTGATATAGCTTCTCATGTTTACAGAATAGCTGCTGCAGCTCCGAACAGCTCATTCCCAGACAAGAGTACATCAAGTAGGAAGAAATAGTTTAAAGGTTTGTTTTGTTCATGTGTTTAAAATACACTGAAATAAGATTTTAGACTCCTTAATCTATTGTTCACAGATATCTGATATATTTAAATATACATTTAAAAATCTCTGCCAAACATTTCTGATGGAAAGCACAATTAAATATTGTATGGTGTGTAAGTGTTTAACTTCTCTCTGTCTCTCTGTCTTTCTCTCCCTCAGTAGCTAAGTAAGTTCGCTAGGGGAAAACCACCCCTTACTGTTCTAAGTGTGGTCCCCTGGGTGCTTGTTAAAAAAGCAGAATCTTGGGCCCTACCCCAGACCTCCAGAATCAGATCTGCATTTTAATAAGAGCTCCAGGTAATTCACATGCACGTTAAAGTACCAGGACAGTCCTTGCAAATGTTGATAGGATACTGGCTGATATTCCCATCATCATTAGGGATGGAGTGGGAAAGAGGAACAGAGTCTGTAATCCAGATGCTTTCTTCCCCCAAGGTCAAGACAGCCATGTTTTCATAGTGACAGCAAATCACTTAAAATGTTCAGCTCTGACAACTTCCAAATAAACTAAAGGTTTCTAATTAAGCATCACAGCTGGTGTGGTTAAGCAGCTACACTTCTGGGGAAGCCCCAAGGCTTCTTAAAAGTTTAACACCCCCTACTTGCCCCCTGCCCACGACACATAAGCAATCTTCCCAATTCCAAACCAACTTAGCAAGTTTCCAAAATGAAGAGCCTGATCTTATTGGGCACACCTGTGCCACGCAATTTTAGTAAACTTCCTGTGGTCCCACTCGTAGACACAGAACATTGGACTGGATGGTCCATGGGGATGGACCCAGCAGGGCCATATAGCTAATGAAGGCTGCTCCTGCCCTACTCTTCAAAGAGCATTTTTTGAAAAGTAGGGAAAGGCCATTTAGGCATGGATGTTGCTTGGGAGAGATTAGGAGATTGTGTCTTGAGATGAAAACTCTGCTCAATGCCAGAGCTGAAGATGAGTTAAGTCTTTCCTGGAAGAGCCTATAGTCTAGGAGGAAGGCAGATAAAATTACAACCAGACATGCTAAGTACCAAAAAAAGCAAAGGTTACCACTTCCTCCACTGTTACTGAAACATAGTAGGTAAATCAAGGAGTGTGGCAGCCACTGATGTCATCTCTCTTTACTTCCTAAATACCTCTGAACATCTCCTACAATGGGCATGCTCATAACCCACGTAATCTCCTTTCTGCTAACAGGTTGTGTATACGATTCCTGCAGTGCTCACCCTGCTTGTTGGACTTAACCCTCTTGTCACAGGTATGAACCTTGGATTCTGAATGGAGATACAGCAAATCAGATTCCCTTAGAATAATGAGAGTCTATCTGCCCAACTCCCAGGAGAAAAATGGAACACCCCATGTCTTTCTTCTCATTTCTGATAAAAGGCAGTGAATTCTAATCCAGATCATCCTCATCCATCTTCAGGAACACGTGATAAGGACTTGCCATACTGAGACAGTCTTCATAAACTTGGAACCCAGGATCTCTTACGCTGATGTGGAACAGCAAGTTATGCACTTTAGCCCATGAGAGAGAAGGGCTTCAGTCACCGCACTGATTTTTTAACCCACCAAGCTAATGGAGAATCAGCAGTCAAACTGCTAACCTTGCGTCTCCATACTCAGTGGTGATCAACGTCTATGTATTTTCTCTATACAGATCCTCTCAGTACCACTCCCATCAATCGTTTTCTGATTTTGAATTCATTCAGCACCTATGTATATGAACTGCTGCTTCTGTATAAAAACTGTCCATAATATCTGTAACAAACCTTTAGATTTTTCATTGATACATGTTGCTCTCTTTAATCTCCCTGTGTACTGTCACAGAAACCCCAACAATCTCTTGCATGTTTTCATTTATCTTTTTTAAATTTTTTTTCTTGTTTTTTTTTGGGGGGGGTAATTAGGTTTCTTTCTTTCTTTAAGGGAGGTACTGGGGATTGAACTCACGACCTTGTGCATGCTAAGCATGCACTCTACCACTTGAGCTATATACCTACCACCCCCCTTGCATGCTTTTATATGTTTCCTCCTCCTAGGTTGTAAGCCCCTGAAAAGCAGGGTCATGTGTAACCCACCTTTACCCAAGCCTAGCTTAAACATGGCCAGGAATATGGTGGGTACCCAGTGCTTGCTGAGTGACTGAATGGCTGTAAAACAGAGGCTTTATCATATATTTGTTTTGTAACCTGCTCCTCAGACTCCTTACATATAAATCCCAGGTGAGTATACATATAAAAAATTCATTTAAAATAGCTTGTTTGTATTGTCCACAAGCCACCTACCTCAATTAGGGGCAAAATGTAGCTGCTTCACCTTTTATGTCCCTAAAAACTCAATAAACCTTGGTTGGACAGTTTTATTCCATGAAATAATGTCTTATTACTGAAAAAAAAAACCCAAACATTTTACATTGTTTACTAATATTCTCTTACTAATGGGGGCTCTTAGTCCTACAGGTTATTTTTCACTTTCTAAAAACTGCTCCTCCTAGTGGGGCTTGAAAGCTCTCAGGGCTTTAAAACAAAGATAATGATTCCCACTTGGGTGAGGGAAGCTCATGCCCCAGATGCACAGGCTCCTTGTACAGGCATCTAGAACTCTGTTTACATGTTCAAGGTGTATCACTTAGGGCTCTGTTAGTTGCAAGCAAGGAAGAAACTCAATCAAGTGGCCTATAAGCTAAAAGGAGATGTACTGGGATCCCTCACTTTTAAGGCTCGGGGTAGTGCTGGCTTCAGGCACTGGTGCCAGCTCAGAACTTAAACTATCTATTGCATTTCAGTCCTGGGCTCCACGTGGAACTCTGCTGCTCAAAGGTCACATCTTCACCACGCTAGGTCCAACAGAATCTAGAATCAGCTTCCCCGATAGCTCCACAAAAGCTCACAATGCAGCTGTTGGCCCTGATTCATCATCTGCTCATCCTGAGACAAATCACTGTCACCGAGGAGATGGAATACATTGATTGACGTCACTAAGGCCCACTTGTCTGGGATACATGGACTGGGAGTGTGGGATGGGTGGATTTCCAGAGAAAATAAGGGTAGTTGTCATAGGGATGGGAGATGCTGACAAATGAAATAGATGTCCTCTTAAGTTTAAAAATACTGTTTTAACCTCTATGATGTCCCTCAAAACAAAACCCCCACCCCAGCCTTTTCTGAATGCTTTATCTGAAGGCCGATTATGGCAAAGCAAATGCAAAGAGATCATTTTTCTCTGGGATGTGATTCCACGGTTAACAGCACCAGGATATCTATTTTTAGGTAACTTCATTTGGAAGAGTGTCTCTGCAATACACATATTCTTTTGTATCGTGTGGACTGTCGGCTTGGCATACAACCTCTCACTTCATACAAAACAGAGCATCTTACACGAGGAAGAAGGCAGGTGAGCAGTGACTTCTGCTCTTTGGAAGGGGTGGGGAAGGAGTGAGAAAACTTGTTCCTTTTCAATAGCTCATCTGTGCATGATGATGATTTTATTCCCCCAATGACGCCATGAGGAGGAAGATATTATCTCCTTTATAAGTGAAGAAACTGAGGAAGCCATGGAGCCAGGATTCAAACCCCGCACTGCCTACCACACTCCATGATCACCACTGCACATCACATATAACCATCAGGCAGTTGGACCTTGGCCCCCTTGTAATGAGCAAGGATAGCATACAGTAACACTCAGTCTAGTCTAATGAGGTAAAAACTCCATCAGCATTTGGATTCAGTCCCATTCAAGCCAAAATCTTATCTACAAGAATGATCAGCCACCTCAGAGGTCAACCTCTGCCAGTCTTGCCCTTGTGTGTCTCATGTCCTCTCCTCCCTTTGTCATGACCACTGGCTCTTGTTTTATCACCTCTTCCTTTGCTTCTTCCTACCCATGACTCCCTGGCCTCATGAACAGCCCTGTTCCTTTCCTTTCTGTCCCACTGCTAACATCTGCCAACACTGAGATTCAGAGACCTGTAGGTTAAGCACCACTGGTGAGGTGCTCCTATGTTACAGGCCCTAATCCTTGGAAAACTAGATCAGGTTAGCTCAGATGATGGGAATGGACTAAAGGGTCTGAATCCTCTCCACCAACCTGAAGCCCATCAGGTGTGGTGAAATCAAAGTGGGGCTCCCAGTGGTACTTGGCCAAGTATGATTGTTTTCTACTCTACGGAAAAGGTACATCTTTTTAAGACACATTTCTAGCAGCATATACCTACCCCAAGCTCATTAGACTGACTCATACTCCAAGTCACTCCTCTCCATCAAGACGTGACCCAGCCGCCTGCAGTATCTATTTACATGACTGATTTGAGCTCAACCTGCCTAACACTGAGCCCTCTAAAACAACGTAGGGTGCCTGGTCCAATCTGGGGTTCTCTTCTCAGTCGTAGTATTCCTCCCCATGATGTGAAGTAGGTGATTTATCGATGTTTTTATTGCTTTTCTGTTCACCTGTAAGTTGAGGAGCAGCCATGAAGTTCGTATCAGCCTCATAAGATATAATTTATGTTCATACAGAGTTTTATTGAAGTGTCTGAAAAAGTAATTTACGAGGCATGGCCAGACTGAACATATTCTGTAGATGCCGTGTATCTTGGAGGAAGTCATCTGAAAATCAGCAGAAGGAAGTGTCAGGCAGAGAGTGGAATGATGTGCAGTCCCTTGCAGCCAGTTCAAAATATGAAATCTATGCTACTTCACAGGGAGCTGTTGGGGCTGGTGATTATCACAGCATGGATGAGCCTCTGCCAGACTGCATCAAAGTAAGTTTCCAACTCATCAGTTAAAATCAGATTGTGTTCAAGGTCAGTCGGATCAAGCAGGTGAGAATACTGACACACAAGTGCAAACAGAACTCTTCAAAGAAATCTCTCCTGTTCCTAAGGAAAGCCTGCAAGAAGCAATTCAGCGTTTCATGATCACGCATATTTTTGTCAATACCATCATTTTCTGTGTGGCCCAGGGTAATCATAGGGAGTTGCCAGTCTAAAGGGTGTTCTTTAGGGAACAGGAAAGTGATCTCAAAAGGAAGCTTGACGATTTAGGGAAGAGTGAACAGCAAACAAAATATAAAACTGTGGGTACATGTAAGTGACTGTTAACTTTATAAAACAATAATAGGTTTAAACATACAAAAATAAAAATACATGACAACTGTAGCATATACGTTGGAAGGGGATAAATGGAGCTCAGGTGTTCTAAGGTCCTTGAGTTATCCGGGAAGGGTAAAAGTACCAGTTTATATTAGACTTTGGTAAGTCAAGGATTCATGTGTGATCCTTACAGAGTAACCATTAGAAGTAAAGAAAATGAGTACAAGAAAGGAGAAGGGAAAAGGACATAGAAGAGATGGGGAAAATAGGAAGATGTTAAGAAAAAGAATTAAATGCAAATAGATGAGAAATTACATTAAATGTAAATGTTCCAAATATTCCAATAAAGATTCAAAGATTTTTCAAAATGAATAAAAAGATTAAAAACCCAAGTAAATACCTGCTTACAAAAGGGAACCCTTAAATATACAGAAACAGAAAGACTGAGAGCCAAAAGACGGAGAAACCGTACTATACAAACACCAACCAAACAAAAGCTGGTATAGATAAAGTAGACTTTAAGGTCAGCATTACAGAAAAGGAGGACTTCTTTAGATAATTAAAAAAATTATTGTTTTAATATTTTATTTTGAAATATTCAAACATATACAAAAGCAGAGACTAATATAATGAATCAGATGTACTCATCACCCAGCTTCAACAGTTACAATTATATATCCAGTCTCCCTTCATCTATCACTATCCTCTCCACACTTAGATTACTTTGAAATAAACCCTATATTGTTTTATATGTAAATATTTCAGTATGTATCTCTAAAAGATAAGCACTTAAAAAATAACCATCCTACCATCATCACACACACAAAAATAAAACAACAGTAATTCTTTGGTATTATGAGTTTTCCAGCCAGTGTTTACATTTCCACTGTTGTCTTATAAATGCTTGTTCCTCTGTGCTCTATATTTCATATAAATTGGTGGTAAGATCTAGAGGCTTGGCCAGATTCTGGTATTACCATCATCATCACTAAGCAAGACTACTTCATTGGTGGTGCTATGTACTTCCATCACAATGTACATAACACCTAGTAGCTACTTCTCTGTAATGTTAATATAAAATCTTTGATGATCATTGCCTAAATCCACTAAGTCATTTGAATTGCAAAATGGTGATACTCTAGTTATATGATTCCTTGATTATTATCTAGAAAACTT